AATATGGCTGTGGCTGATGATTCGTCGGGTTCAACATACATGGAACAAGGTCAGATCCAGTCACTTTTATTACTCTACATGAATTGAAACCAGACAAATCAAAGTATATCAGGTGAATTGGCTCAGAGCAAAAGCTCGATATGACCGGTGGTCAGAAGAGCATACCTTGATCCCAAACGAAATGAACTGGACCCGCCTCTATTTCATCAACAAAGCAAGGGAGTGGGCTGGGCTGAGGGACTTGGTGCCAGACAAGCCGGGACATGTATGCTTTGCCGAGGGGCAAATCAGTATGTGGAAAGAACTGGCCTTCCAGGCCACCAAAGAATTTATAAATGCCGGGGTCATGTGCGAGGCCATTGCATTACCTAATCCTAGTTGAATCAAACTATTCTTTCTCATTGTCCACCATGTATGCAAAAGAACACCTGTCATTTGACCCCCGCCGAGCAGAGCAATGGGTTGACGAGGTGCTGAAGATACGGCCTCCAGCTTTTACCAGAGATTCTTCTGTAGTGGCTAATCTCCTCTGGAAGGACGACCAAGAGTTCCAGGAGGTACTCTGCTACTGGTCCTCTCGATTCAGAGCCATTTTGACATCGAAGCTCGAAAACCCCATTGACCCCAAGTTCGAGAATTGTTGGTTGGAGTACATGTCGGCCGAACTGGTGAGCTTTATTTTGCCGCGCCCGGCTAAACTCATTCCTTTGGTTAGGGTTTCATTATAGCGACTCTCGGCATGGCATGCGCCTATGGGCATAAAGTAAAACTTTGCCCCAGATTTTTTCTCTTTGAGCTCACCTTCCTGCCAGTTTATCGTCCCTCCCTTTTTAAAGTCCTGTCTCCAGGGTAACCCACTGCACCCTCAGGAAGCCTTCATGGATGACTGTATCCGGCCTGCATACGAGTTTGCGTGGTGGAATACTCGCATCACCTTTCCACCAGGGGGCATCGACCAACTTCTGAAAAGGTCATACAATTGGTTCAGATGGATGGCAAAGGGTGGTTTGCCAATCAAGTACCCGGACACTGAGACCTCCACGCTGACACCGGCCGAAGTTCAGCACATCAAGACCCAGTTGGAGAATGCTCGGGATCGTCTCCTTGAACGTATCAAGCGTGCTGAGGCCGAGGAAGAGTGGGTCACCAATGAGATTTCGGTTTGGGAGGAAATTGTACAGCAGTCTGCTCTTATTGACCTAATGAGGTATCACAAGAACCGGTTTTCAGCACATAGAAACCCAGGTGGAGAAAGCCCGGGATCGGGTTCGTCAAGCCCCCCGTCTCCTTGAACATATTGGTGCTGAGGCCGAGCAAGTTTGGGTCGGATTTGTAATTCATTATTTATTAGTTACCAGACAAATTATATATCAAGTCTGCCATGGTCAACCACTGAGGCCTCTTCACCCCAAGCCTTTCCCCAACCTTTTTGTGCCAAAAGTGAGCTAAACA